ACTGTTTATGTTACACCTCTCCTTATTCTGTTGTAACATCCCTCCACCCCAAAGATACTAGCCTTATTAGTTTGTTGCAGGGGCAGAGGATGGGGGGGAGGGCTTTAGCAAAGAGATTTGAGATTGTAGTCCACTAAACTGTGTTCAGTGTGTACGCACTGAAATAAATTTGACATTAGTTCATCAGCAGCCCTTATTTTCTTACCCTTTTTGTCTTTTTGTTGTCCTTATTTTCTCACTGTGTGTTTTAAAACTAATTCCACATCTATCTGCTGGCTGGGATGCCAGCCAAGGTGGCTTTTTGGTCTGACCCAGCGGGGTTCTTCTCATGGCCTTACATCACTTTATGGTTCATGGGTTTCTCATCCTTCCTTTTGCCCTCTTAGAAAATTTCACACATCTAATAGATTCTATTTCATTCATTTCCTATCTGGATGGGTCCAGCTTCTGACTTTAATTTTTAATTCTCAGTCTCAGCATACATTTCTTATGTTGTTCCTAGGGAACCAATTACAGGCTCCCTAACATCTTTTTTCCTGCTATTTTTTTATCATTATGAGTCAAAAATGGTTGAAATATAGATGGCTGAGGGACTCTAGCTTTGGACTGGTTACACAAATGTCAGAAATATTTGTATGTATGTGCTTAAATCCTGCCCTTCAGACAACATTCCACCATTTTTCTGGATGTTGTCTGCCTGTCTGACCTTCCAGTAACACATCCCCTTCCGTTTTATTTTTATAGCTATGGCATTCAATATCTGCTTCTTCAGTTCCTTAAACAGCCTGAGATAGAGATTATCAGCATCTGCTTTGAATATTATAAATGATGCACTTAAAAACCTTTTTTCTTCTTTTTTTCTTTTTTGTTGAATGCAGATTTACCACCCCAAGTCTACATTTATGTGATGGAGGGGGTGGGGGGAGATCCTAGGCACCATATATATAAAGCATTATTACACTACTTTAAATAGTCATTAGGGGGACATGGGTGGCGCTGTGGTTTAAACCACAGAGCCTAGGGGTTGCCGATCAGAAGGTTGGTAGTTTGAATCCTCACGACGGGATGAGCTCCCATTGCTCAGTCCCTGCTCCTGCCCACCTAGCAGTTCAAAAGCACATCAAAGTGCAAGTAGATAAATAGGTACCGCTCTGGCGGGAAGGTAAACGGTGTTTCCGTGCGCTGCTCTGGTTTCACCAGAAGCGGCCTAGTCATGCTGGCCACATGACCTGGAAGCTATCTGCGGACAAACGCCAGCTCCCTCAGCCTGTAAAGCGAGATGAGCACCTAGCGGTCAAGGGTACCTATACCTTTAAATACCGGTAGTCATTGTAAGCATTCTAAGCATATAATGCTTAGGTGATTCCCAAGGTGTCCTGCTCATGGTCATGTCGGGACAAGACAGGTGTTTATACATAGCCGTCTGCATGCAACAACATTACTAGACTATAAAAAAATAGTGTGTGGTCCTACATGAGACACCTAGCATGACCATTGGAGACATGTAAATAACAACTGCACCAAAGCACTACCAGTATAATGAAGGATTGTCTGCACCATAAATAAAAGACTGAATCATTCTCTCTCTTTTTTAAAAAAATGTATTTAATGATTTTCAGTTATAGGTGAATTAGATATAAAAAAGAGAAAAAAGAGAGAATAATATCAACAATAACAATAACAAAAAAATTGGAGTAAAGAGCCATCACAAAAAGGGAAAAATAAAATAGATGCAATCCCAGTTGTGGTTCATTGGATGTACAGTAGTCAGAGGCAAGTGTTATTCCACTATGTTCCGTGTGATGCTGGCATATGGGAGCCATGCTCATTAGTTTGTGCATATTCAACAAAATATACCGTTACAAAAAAAAAAGTTTTTCTTTTTCTTTCCAGTACAGTGCTCTCACTGTGAGGCTGCAAGTTTGTCTCTAAGTATAGAGCCCCATTGCCTTTATTATTATTATTATTATTATTATTATTATTATTATTTATTACTTATATCCTGCCCATCTGGCCGGGTTTCCCCAACCACTCTGGGCAGCCATTAAAAACTTCCCTAGACAGGTCTGCCTTCAGATGTCTTCTAAATGTCAGGTGGTTGTTTATTTCTTTGACATCTGATGGGAGAGCGTTCCAGAGGGTGGGTGCCACTACCGAGAAGGCCTTCTGCTTGGTTCCCTGTAGCTTTGCTTCTCGCAGTGAGGGAACCGCCAGGAGGCCCTCGCCACTGGACCTCAGTGTCCGGGCAGAATGATGGGGGTGGATATGCTCCTTCAGGTATGCTAGCCCCTTTATTTATTTATTATATTTCTTCCATGACAAAACTCCACATGGTGTGCTAGGTAGCTGTGTCTTGTGCTTTCAGTTGATGGGACTCCAAAACAGTTTCAGTAAATAACTGCAAAGTAGAACAGAGAGGGTTTATCCTCCTAGGAGCACATGCATACAGACAGTGCATTGGAACTGAGCAAAGGCATTTTAATAAATAAAGGTAATAGAAGTATTGACTTTGCATAGTGGAACCTGTTGGAATTATTTTGTTGCCCCATATCAATTTTTCCCTCTCAAACAAAGTCCCCTTACAACGACAAGCGCACACATTTCTCCTAGTTTGATTAGTGTTGCCTTCTGAAAGAGGCTCATAAAAATTGCAGTCATGGAAATTCTCTGTTGCATCATACAGGTCATGCAATAATAAGGAACTTTCAAAAGCAGATGTCAAACCAACAAATAACAGAGGTTACAGAGAAGGATATTTTATACAACAAGTCGATTTTATACCACAACAAAGGAACAAGTATATAATCTGGAGCCCTGAAAGATTAAAACAAAAAACTGAAAATCATCACCGTTAATGAAAGCAGTGCAAAGGCTTAATTGATCTGGCCAGTCAGAATTACTACATTCAGTAGAAAAATCTTCCCCTTTGTTCCTGTATAAATAATAAGTAATTTAAAAACTAACAGTCTAGACATAGAAGGGTCAGTGCATAAATATGCTAACAGACCTGACAGAACAGAAAAATTGCATGGTTCAGGCCAAAGGTCCACTGTTTCCCATAATGACCAATCATATGCTTTCACGAAGTCCTCAGACAGGCTGTCAGTATGTTCTAGTCAGAAAGACGAGTTCCCACATGTATGCACACAGCTTAATTTCTCTGCCCTTGATAAATGGAAGCTAAATGGAAGCTAAATTGGAAGCCTTGGAAAAGCATCGAGTTTGACATGATATGAAATGTACAGAAGTTTCATCTATGCTATTATAGTCACTTTCATATGCATGGCATCACAGAATAATATAATTTTAGAGTTGAAAGGGACCTCAAGGGCCATCTAGTCCAACCCCTTTGAATGGAGGAGTACATACTTGCTAATGTACTCCTCAGGCGACGAACATGCATGTGTGGAAAAGCTCAGTGTTGTCTAACTAATACTTCCCATTGATTTCAACAGGATATATGTATGCAGTTGCCTAGCTCTTGATTTGGAAAAGATAAGACTTATAAATTCCTAGAAGATGGATCTTTATATTTTGAAACTCTGTTTTAGAACTAGTTCTCACACACATCTGTGTAAGTAAATTGTTACCCATGGTAATTTTAATCCATTTAGATTTCTTCAGAAAATAATGGTTGAAGGAAGAGCTGAGTTATGGAGCTATAGGGTGAGAGTCAAGTAGGTCATACTCAGAGTTAGACCCACTGAAATAGATGAATTTACCTGTGTCTTCTCCGTGTATGACTAACATTGAATATAACATATATAAAGTGTAAGATGGAGCTATTTCTACTTCAGGGTACTGCAGGCATGTCCAAAGTCCGTTTCAGGGACCTAATCCGGCCAGCTGGTTGGTTTAATATGGCCCCTGTGGCAGTTTATTTCCTGGGGTAAAATCCTACAAAAACCCCTCAACAGTCCTAAAAAAAGGTAACAACTTTGGTTGGCCCTTTGGTCGGCCCTCACGGCCCTTCACTTCATCAAATCTGGCCCTCTTTGAAAAAAGTTTGGACAGCACTGAAGAGTTAAAGTCAAAGAGTTCAAGAGAGGCAGAGAAGGGGGTGCTGGATGTCAGGAGCTGCATTCTCTCCTGTGCGGCAGAGTGTGTGTGACTACTGGATCACATGCCCTGTGAGTTGACATTCCATTCTTTGGAAGCGTGGAAACAGAAGGAACTGTGCGCCACTTCCATCTTCTTTGTTCTGCCCTGTTGTTGTTCTCTCTCGGATGACCCCCCCCATCCGCTTCCGCTGGGAAAGAGGTGTGGTTTAAGCACCCCAGTCACCCGCCCCTTCCCATTGTGCCCTGACCCTCTCCCTGCAAGGGTTCAGGTGAGTGCAAAACGCCTTGGGGCACAGCAAGCTTTTGGGGGGGGCTGGGGGGAGGATGCAATGCAATGCCAGTGGGATGATGGAGAGGGAGACAGCAGGCAGGGAAGGGTGGGTGGGTGTGTAGTTGAGGTCCCCCCCCCATTTCGAGTATTCCGAATAGCAATAGGGATGCTATAAACACATGCAGAAATACTAACGTTTACTAACTTTCAGCTGAGTTTCCTGCATTCCAGGGGTTGGACAACCTATTGCTTAATAGGTTTAATTCCACTTCCCATATTAATCATAATACAAAACAAAACGATACAATATAATACAATCCAAATACCTTTATTGGCATTTCAAGTTAAGACATTTCAAAATGGCATCAGATGTAAAGTCTTTCTTCTTCCTGTTTCCGAGAGATTTTATTATTTTATTAGAGATTTTATTTTATTAGACACACTTGCAAGTGGGGTATTCCAAGATCAGGTACAACTTCATCAGGAAAAACACATCTTACAAAGTCGCTTGTCCAGCCGCAAGTCCCTCCTTCCACGCCCACAAGAAGGGGCGTGCCAGTTTACAGAAGTATCGCGTCCGCCTCATTAACATTTTACCATTCCACTTCCCATATTAATCATAATACAATACAATACAATACAATATAATACAATCTAAATACCTTTATTGGCATTTCAAGTTAAGACATTTAAAAATAGCATCAGATGCAAAGTTTTTCTTCTTCCTGTTTCCTGTTTCCGAGAGATTTGAGTGGGGAAATCCTTTCAATTCCTCAATAATAAGAGGCAGTGGGGTGAGGGAGGCCAGGGCCACATCCACACCATTTAAAGCGCTATGAAGCCGCTTTAAACACTCATGGCTTCTTCCCCAAAGAATCTGGGAGCTATAGTTTGAAAAGGGTACAGAGAGCTGTTAGGAGGCAGCCCTGCTCCCCTCCCAGAGTTCCCTGCCAAGAAGGGAACCCTACTCCTAACCCTAACCCTTTTCCTTATGCTAACGCTAACCCTAACTCTAATGCTAACCCTTAACGCTTAACTAGAACTACAATTCCCAGAGCTCCCTGGCAAGAAGGGAAGCCTAACCCTACCCCTGACGCTAACCCTAACTCTAACCCTTAACTAGAGCTACAATTCCCAGAGTTCCCTCACAAGGAGGGAACCCTTCCCCTACCCCTACCCCTACCCCTACCCCCTACCCCCTAACTCTACCTCTACCCTAACACTAACCCCCCCAGCAACTCTTCGTCCCCTTAACCACCTACAGTTCCCAGAATCCCTGAGGGGAAGCCATTCCTGTTCAAAGCGTCTTCATAGCACTTCCAATGGTGCGCCTAATGTGGCCCTCATTTTCTTCTCTCTCCCCACTGCCCCATCACTTGCAATGCAGCAGATGTCCGCCTGCAGTCTCCCTTCAAAGCTCCTTCTCTCACGTCTGGCCTTGTCCATTGTTCACTGCCAGGATTTCACGTTCATTTCTCCGATGTAAATAGGGAAGTCCTGCGGTTCTCTTCATGACTTTGAAGGCTGAACTTGGGGAAAACTTCACTGGCTCCAGACATCCCTGTAAGGCAAAGGCAAACAGGTGAGTAGGATGGTCCCCATCCTAATCATCCCCCCAGACTCCTCCTCTGTTTGGCTGCCTGTTCACAAACAAGGCTTCCAAACCAGTTTGCATCCATCTCAGCCAGCGTAACCTTGTGGCATCCACTAGTCTCAATGCAAACTCTTCTGACAACCATCCACCAGCTGCTGTCAATTGCCAGACATCAACCAGCTTCAGAGCTGAATATCAGTTGCCTTCAAGTAGCGATCCCACCAGCAAGTAAACTTTGTACTTGCCTTCTCCTTGCTCCACAGCATCCCAGCACCGGGCCATTGCCTCCTTCCGCTTGCCAGCTTGCCGCCACGGGGCAGGAGACCACCAGGGCTGAGTGCCAGTGAGCTGCCCATTTCTCTCTGGGGAGGGCAACTGCCGAGGCTTGTGCCTTGGCCCACATTTATACCCACTCAGCTGCCAAATGTTTTTGTGACATCCCAGTCAACCCACCAACAATGGCAGCAGCTGGGGAGGCATCACCCCCACCCCCTCAGTCCTCACAATGGTGAGCACAGTTCAGCAGTCAAAACACATTCAATATCCCCCCCCCCAAGTTGTGCCAATATCTGTGAATGCCACACCTGAAACCCAAGGGGGCAGAATAGGGACATTTTTCAGCCCCAGGGTTACATTTCCCTCCACACAACACTAGTCAAATGCACCAATGAACAGAGCAATGAATGCAAGCCTTACCTTTGCACATGAAGCTGCTCAAGGAATGACATTCACAGAGAAAGTTAGCATCACGGGGGAAAAGCACTTTTACATCAATCAATTAATCATTTATTGCATTTGACTAAAAGCCATTACAAATCCAGTTACAAAAGCACCAAACCCAATGACCCAAACTATAGCTCCCAGATTCTTTGGGGCAAGAAGCCAGGTGGATGCCTTGTGAACTCAGCGAGGTGTCCAGTGATGGCTACATACTACCTCCAGGTTCAAAGGTGGCATATTTCCATATATCAGTTCTTGAAAATCACGAGAGCTGTTGTGGTCAGATTCTGCTTGCAGTTTTTGCACAGGCATTTGTGAGAACGAAATGCTGAAGTTGGGCCACTGGCCTGATCCAGGCAGCTTTCTTATGTTACAAAGGAAGACCTCCAAGAAAGAGCCTTGCAGCACTGTTGCACCCATGTCTACTTGGAAGTAAGTCCTACTGAATTCAGTGGGGCTTCCTCCCGTGTAGGTGGGATTGTAACCTTTGCCATTTTGGGGGAGAGCTGCCTGTGGTGCCAAGTAATTAAAAATAAGTATAAATGTCTAAAACAAAATCCTCGTGTCTGAAAATCAAGCTTTTGGCTGCTTAGGCTTCTGCCAATGAAACGGTCCTCTTCTGATCTCACTACAGTGGAAAGGCAAACCAGCCAGTGAGCGCTTAGTAGGCAGGGCAGAGGAGTCAGACCCTTAAGTCATGGACACAACAGGTGTGTGTGTGGCTGGCGCGTGTCCAGGGGCCGTGGCGTGGCCGCTTGTGGGGGTTTGGTGCCCAGCATGGGGGGGGGAGCCATGATGGCACCCCACCGGGATAACGCTACCGGGGGCGGTGCACTCCCCCCGCCCCCCTCTTCCTCCGCCAGTGATTAGGTGACTTTCTGAAACTTGCAGCATTTCTTGGAGTGCTACATTAAAAGTATTCTCTTGGAAGGCTTCCTTTGTAGCATATGAAAGCTGGCTGGATCAGGCCAGCGGCCCAAGTTCAGCACCTCGTTCTCACAGACGCCTGTGCAAAAACTGCCCAGAATCTGACCACAACAGCCCTCGGGATTCTCAGGAACCTATAGACAGAAATATGCCACCTTTGATCCTGGAGGTAGTATGAAGCCGTCACTTGACACATCGCTGAGTTCACATGGCATCTACCTGGCTTCTTCCCCCAAAGAATCTGGGAGCTATAGTTTGGGTCATTGGGTTTGGTGCTTTGGTAACTGAATTTGTAATAGCTTTTAGTCAAATACAATAAATGATTGATTGATTGATGGATGGTTGGATGGATGGATGAGAAAGTGCTTTTTTCCTGAGATACTAACTTTCTCTCTGCATGTCATTCCTTGAACAGCTTCCTGTGCAAAGATAAGGCTTGCTTTCATTGCTCTGATCATTTGTACATTTGACTAGTGTTGTGTGGAGGGAAATGAAGCCCCCGGCTGAAAAATGTCCCCCTCCTGTGTTTGAAATTCTAGAATAAGTAACTGCCTCTTTCCCCTCAGCTGCTATGTCTGTTGGTGACATCACAAGAGACCATAGATAGACAGGGCTGGGGAAACTAGGCCTCAAGGGAGGCATTTATTAATAAAGAAAATCCTGGAGTATAGTCACAGAGATTGTTGGGACTCCAACTTCCATCAGCCCCACCCCTAATATCTATGGATGCAGGGAAATTAATAATAATATAGTAATAATAATAATTATTATAATTATAATAATAATAATGGCCATCTGGTGGGAGAAATAATAAGCTTCAGCTTTGGAAGGCCTGGGGTATGTGATTTTGGGGTTGGACTAGATGACCCTCAGGTCCCTTTTATGATCTCCTCTCCAGTTCAATCTTCTAAACTCTGACTGAATAAGCATGATAGATCCCTGAGTTTCTGCCATTGACTTGTGATTCTTCCTGCAAAATGTTTTTTAAGCCCATTGAAGTTGAATGATCAGAGACCCTTTCCTTCCATTGAAGCAAAGGGCAGCTTATTTCCTGGGGTGAAATCCTAAAAGAACCTCAGCAACTTTTATCCTAAAAAAAAGTTTAATAACTTTGGTTGGCCGTTTGGTTGGCCCTCGCGGCCCTTCACTTCATCAAATCTGGCCCTCTTTGAAAAAAGTTTGGACACCACTTGAGTAGTTCGTCAGTGCTCACCGATAAATATTGCTTGAAGTAGGTACTACAAGCTATTATCTGTTGTGTCCAGTCAACTCAATAGTCTATTGATAAATAAATCCCCAGAATTTGGTATAACCCTAGTGACTATACTCCAGGAATTTCTGTAATATCAAAAGTTGCACTTTGGACCAAAGGTGGGGAACATCACCAGGCATCTCTGTCTGGTCATGGGAACTCTTCCCATGCCAAACACTTCACTGGCCTGCCTTATAATCTGAATCTTTCTTGACTCAGAATGTGCACTTGAGCTCAGGCCAAGCTTCTTGCTTGTATGGATGGAGGGTAGAGAGATAAATATGTAGGTATGTATGTTTGTATGTATGTATGTATGCAGAAACTTGCTTATGGTACAAAGGTTGTTGTGTTGGTGATTGTTGTTGTCATCGTCATCAACATCATCATTTTGTTTATTTTGCTTATGAATCACTTCCCTGAGGTAGTTCTCTTGCATCTGTTGCTCTACCTCCCTGACCACTATTGTCATGTGGTACCTGGAAGGTTGTCCAGAACAGAACGTGCTCCTTGGGGTGAACAAGGTTCCCTACTATTATACTCCATTTCTGCCAACCAAACTACTTTTCCTGCTGTTGACAGGAAATGCATCCCACAAAAAAGGGAAGAGGCTACGCTCTATTACAATATTAGCAATAATTATATAAAGTTCTTGCAAGCACACTTACATGAAGTAATTCAGCTTGTCATTGATATATCTCTTAACAGGACAGCAAAGCAAAACTTGGAGCAAACAGATATTAATGAAGCATTGAATCCATTTTAAATCAATTTACACATTAATGCACCGCTAAATATAAAACAATTCATCAAAGCCTGAAATAACTCCAATTTAAGAACAATTTTTTAAAAAAACAAACCCAACACTACTGACATATGCATCAGATTTGCCAATATGGTAACTGCAGGGTTAATCCAGTGGAATTTATCATAAATTTGCTTGATAAAATTTTCTTTTCACGAATGCTGATTAAAATGGGATTATGCCATGCAAGATAAAATTTATTGCTAGTATAATAAAAGTCTAAAAATGGCATGACAAGAAAGCCACGTCCTGAAGTGCACAATAGAGCTATTTCAAAATACAATGGCACATTTCATTTTATGACATGTATATCCTGCCTTTCCTCCAAGGAGTTCAAGGTGTGGGTGCCCCCTTTCCATTTCATCCTCCTAAGAATAATTGTGTGGGTGAGGGCAGGCTGAGAGGTGTGACTGACCCTGTGGGATTCATGACTGAGTAGGGATGAAGGAGAAATTCAATTCACATTCAATGGTGCCTTTTGTGAATTTTTCACTGTCTGAAACAATCTGATTATGGAAATGCAGCCAACCTTCAAAATCCAGACTAACACAACTTTTGCAATGCAGTTCTCCAGCATATACATACATATATATATAAAATGCATAAATTGGGGTGGAAGTGAGTACAAAAATTAACATATTCATGAAGATAACATATAAAAATGCATCATATTAAGAATAATTGCTTTAAAAATTGTTCATTAATTAATACTGTATACAAAACATGTGCTTATCAGTAGAAATTTGCAACAAAATGCTAATGAATTTTCATTTTTAAAAATACAACTTGCTGCAGAAATCTGGAGAACTGAGTTTTTGACTGTAAAATCCTTAACTGAAATTGATGGATCTTTCCATTTCTATGACTGAGTGAGGATTTGAACTCAGGTCTCTAGAGATAACAGTGAGGGGTTTTTTTAGTTGTTGATTCTTAGGGATGGACAAGTCAATCAATTCCATATTTTCTCAGTTCACTTTTTTGCAACCTTAAGTTTGATGTCTCAAATTTTCATGTATATTTGCAAAATAAAATAAAATAAAAGTCCACATGAAAATGCGCAAACAATTGTTTCTGGGAGGATGAAACGGAGAGTGGGCATACGCACCACAAACTCTTTGGAGAAAAGGAAAGATATGCATGTTGTAAAATGAAATGTAGAGTTATATTTTTTAAAGAGCAGTACTGTACACTTCAGAACTCAGATTTCTTGCCAAGCTGTTCTTAGAGTTTTATTATATGAGCCATGAAATTCCATTGGCATTTCTCCAAATATGCACATTCGGCATGTAACTTTGGCAGAGAGAAGGGTTGTGGTTCTGTGGTGGAGCATCTGCTCTGTTTGCAGAAGGTAGCCAGGTTCATGCCCTGCCTTCTTCAGTTAGGGCTGGGGAAAACCCATATCTGAACATCTAGAGAGCTGCTGCTATTTAGGTAAACAATACTGAGCTAGAGGGACCAATGGCCTGATCTGTAAATAGCTGCTTCCTGTTATATATCCTCAGGGCTGGTGCTACCAGGCAGCCACTTTGGGTGCAGACCTCAGAGGGGTACAATGCTGACTTTCTAGGGACACTGTTTTATACGGATTAGTTTTTGTTATATCTTATAAATTTCTGGTAATATTTTACTTTTATATTTTAAAGAATTTTTGAAGTAAT